AAATGAAATGCGATAACCCCAATAATTCAAGTTAATTAGCCAGCCCAAAAGCTTTGATTTAACGAATATTGATTGGAAACTCAAAAACCTAGAACCAGAAACAGAGACAGACCCGTTCCCTCCTAATTATCAAACAATTTAAGCGCACAAGGAAAACAAAGACGAAGATATCAGCAAGAAAAGGATGAAGATTTACCTCCGATCACTTGCCGGCCAAATTCATCCTCGCTCGATCTGGGATTCTGGGTTGGGTAAAATTTTAGGAGGATTTAGACAGAGAGGATGGGTTTAGTTGAGTAGTGATTACAACTGAGGGGAATGGGAGGCGACAGCGGTGGCTGCGAAGGAGGGAACGAAACCGGTGAAAACGAGGGAGCACCTGTGGTAAATTTCATCGGTTAATCACAGAAAGGTTATAAGTTCCTCGCAAAATCATTGGTCGAGACAAACAAAATGTGCGTTGAACGGCAGTCAAAGGCAGACGAACAAAGGTGCGGCAGATGACCAGCTTTGGCCTTTGTAAATTGTAAGTGAAGGTGTAGGTTTAGGAAACTTAGGATTGTTTTATATATATACAGTATATATCATGCAGGGACAGCGCGGTGTATGTCGCCCCATCCCCTGTCCCGTTTTAAGGTGGAGGAAATATTTTGCTTCTGCCCCCGCCCCGGCTCCGCCCATTCCCGCCTCATTTCTATCTAGTGGGTGCTCGTCTCTATCTAGTGGGTGCTCGTCTCTATTGCCATCCCTATTTGTTATAGTACAAAAAGATAGCTACATATTTTGCATTTACAAATAATTAAACTACTAAATAGAGATTTTTTTAAAAAAATATAGTGCATTCCTTTTTAACTGAGGGCGCAACTTTGCTAGTATTTGGCAATACAAAATTGTTTATAATCTATGTATATGCTTTTATCAAGTAAAAAAAGGTCTAAATATGTTATAAACTTTATTTTTTAGAGCAATTAGTTATGATAAAAGCTTCCAATTAAAACGATGTCTTAATTTTATGAGTTTCAATACCTAAGCTAGGGATGACAAGTTTTTTCAATCAGCGTAATACATTCTCTATTTGAATAACATTACAATTTTGCTTTTGAGATTGCAAAAGTAGAGGCCAAAGTTTTACAATTTGTCAGGAAAACTTGTTCTTGACAATACATTTACTTTTATCAAGTAAAATTTGTTAGAACATTTTCCTTTTCATACAATTGCTTGGTGCAAAATATTTTTGAATGGTAAAAGATTGAGTAGGTTTGCAAATTTGAATACTCAAATTAATTTATCCAAAAAATAAGTAATTATTTTTTCAACTCATAATTTCTTGGTCATAGAGAGTCACTATACAACTGTTCCCTAATACAAAATGGCATGCTAACAGTCACTTACTTTTATTTAATAAAAGTGGTCCAAATTTTTATTTTCATTTTCAAACAAATTCTTAGCAAAAAAAGAAAGAAAGAAAGAAGTTCTTAAATAGAGAAATATACACTAATTAGCAGGTACAGATAATTGAAGGTATTAAATTGTGAAAGAAAAGTTATTTTCTTTAGGATAAGAAAAGTTATTTTCTTTAGTTGAGTGCATTCCATTTTTGGTGGTGCTATAATTTTTTGGATTAATCTTCTATGTAGTAAAGGTGTATGCATTGTCAAACTAGATGCATGATAACTAATTTAATTTTGAATTTGAAATCCAAATTTTTCATGTGTCATGCATCCAACTATATTAGTGTATACATGATTAGTGTATATAGTATTTACTTTAATTTTTTTACTATCGGTAGTGAAAATGGATTATTGCCAATATATTTCTTTTTTTATCAAGTAAAATTCTTGGAGCTCATCAAAATTTCATTACTATGTGAATGGTTCGCTAAAAAGCCTTTCAAATAGCTATAGATACAAATAAAAAATTGTTAAATCAAGAAATAATATTACTTTTTTCTGTAATATATTCCTTAAAAATGAAAATAAAATTAAGTAAATAGTCTGAACTGTTCTAATTTTTATTTTTTATGCAATTGGTTAGTTTAAAAAATCTCAAGTAGCCAAAGATACAATAATTTGGTGTGTGCAAATAAACTTTTAAATAGACTAAGGAAAAGGTTGTTTCCCCCCTATTGAGTGCATTCCTTTCTAATAAAAGAATAACTTTGCAATTCAACAACACAAAAATAGCTTCCAGTTAGTATATTTACTTTTGTCAAGTAAATATGATTTAAACGATTCTAATCTTTATTTTCATACAATTTGTAGTGGACACGGCTTCTAATTAAAATGATATACTAATTTTATGGGTACAAAAAATCACATTGTGAAATTGACGAATGAAAAGTTATTTATATAGTGCACAGTTGTAGTGCATCCCTTATTTGAAAAACAATACAATTTTGCTATTCAATATGGGAAAAAGACTTCATATTCAAACATTGACTTTTATCAACTTTTATCAAGTAAACATTACCCAAATCATTTTAATTTTTTTTATTGTACAATAATTAGTGACAGATAAAAGTAATTTTGTGAGTACGCATGATTGAAACTGTTGGAACCACTCCGATGATCAGAAGAGAACTCTTAGAATTCTTTTCGCGTCGGATTCAAGGTTTGAAAAAAAATTAGTACATATAATTGAATGGCTGACAAGAAAGAAAGATCCATTGTTTAATGAGGCCACATGTTGCAATTAGGCAATAAAACTTTTTCTTACATCCCTTGGGATGTGGGACGGGTGTGAGCAAGCTTTAGGATGAGGCAGAATTTAGATTGGAAATCATGGAGTTCCAAAGTTTCCACCTGATTGTTATGGTTTGCTTCCTCTTGACCAAAGTTCCACAAAAAAAAAAAAATGCTTTTTTCACTTGTTTGTTGGGAAACTTACGAAACAAATAAAAATAAAAATCCCTAATTATGGAGATTGAGGGAATTAATTACATAATAATACAGAAGAATAATAAGAATCCAATAATAATAACTAATTAAAATCTCAAACCATAAAGAAATTTCAAGAATTATTTGTATAACCTTCTCATCTACTACTCAAAATACCCTCCAACTATGTGATATAGTCCTATTTATCACTAATTTTGACTTTGAATTAGGAAATAACCTAATGAATCACCATTTAAGAAAATTATACAAATTTGACTCCAATAAAAGCTTTAGGGATTAAATAGGAATATGGTGTACTTTTTCCGCCCAAAGTTGTAATAATGCATGAAAGTTTTAAACCTTGTTTGATAACCTAATTCAACATTTAAAATTTTCATATTTTAATATGGTCAATCGCATTTAATAACAAAAAAAAAGAACATCTAAATAAATTAAATAGTATTGAATTTTTTAGGCAAAACTTGCTCCAAAATATACCTTACTTAATGTAATATAGACTCAAATTAAATATATCAAATTTAGTATTTAACAATTCAATAATAATTTAAGTTATTCAAATTTTAATATTTTTAGAGGTATTGAATAACAAAAAATAAAACATCTAAATTAAATGAGTAACATTGAATTTTTTTGGCACAATTTACTTCAAAAAATAATTAATGAGCTATTCATTTATCGATAACTTAATATGCATTCACTCAAATATATCAAATTTAAAACTTAATGATTGAATAACTTAAAATATTGGGAAAGATTTTAGATTTCAAACTTTTAAACTTGTCAATTAAACGCACCCTTACACTCTTCTCCAAATCCTTTAATCCACTCGTAACCAGGAGGCGAAATCAAACACTCAACAAATACATCACCATACATCACCATCAAATTTAATTATTTATGTAAACACATTTAGTAATGCGATGCAATGGTGGATTTTATTCAAATTTAATATCTCAAACAAGGGGAATCTATTTTCCAGAGTTTTTGTAAAAAATTTCGTCAAGCTTTTTGTAAAAGAATGTACTGCAGTGATTTGATGTACATGAGATAAAAAGATGATTGAAAAATATATTCACAAAAAACATAAAATTTTTTTTTAGAGAAAATTAGCTTTCCAAACAAGGTAGACTCCCTGACTTTGAGGCCATAGTCCTCCATTGCATATATTTGGACATTCCTAGCAAAACACATTACCTGATCCTAGCAAGTCATACAAATAAAGCTGACATTGATAGCAATTAGCATCGGAGTAAATTTAATTTTGTCCATCAAACCTAGAATTAATGTCTCTAATACTCGTACTAAAGATTCTTCTACATTTAGCGGAGCTAAATAACTCTAAATGATGGTTAGGACATACATATGCTGGAGGTATGCCTTCTTTTAAATTTGTTTTTTCCTAGTAGAGGGGTAGGACTGAAGAAGGGAGGAGGGGCAAGGAATTTGAATTTAAAACTTCTAATTCTTGCGGAAATTTGAACTTAAGAATTCTAATTCTTGAGATCTCAACCTTAACCACGAGACCAAAGCCACCTCCGCGCTCGTAGGTATGCCTAATGGTAATAGTTCATCATCTTAAGGGTGCGTTTGGTTCTGTAGAATTAGAATTGAATTAGAATCAAAATTCTATAGAATTGGAATTCCAAGTCATTCCAATTCTTTCGTTTGGGAAATGCATAAAATTGATACGGAATTTATTTGAAATTCCAAATTCTTTGTTTGCATGAGAGAAGAATTCATTAGGAATTAGAATTGTTTTCAAGAAAATTTGCTTACATAAAATTTTTCTTTTTTCTTTTTTCTATATAATAATTTCTTTTTTTCTTACATTTAGCTAATTTTTACTAAAGATTTAAAAGAAAAAACCAATTTGTGCCTTTAATAATTTATTTTTTCTCACTTTTATATCAATTTCTTTGGTGAGCATTTCTTTTAGCATGTTTTGATCCATTATCCCTTTTTGTGGAGAAATATTTCCCCATCTCAGCCGTGGTATTTTCGATTGTGTTTTGATATATTATAATAAAGCAAAATTCTTTCTTATTTCTAATACTTATGCAAAATTCAAAAAAGATTTCATCAATCAAAATAGCTATGCACAACTAACACTCAAACTCCTCCATTAAGTACCAATGGCATGATAAAAAGGTAACAAAAACACTTGATCAAATGCTTCAACTGTATAAACCAAAAAGCTAAAAACTGTCAGTTACAAATAAATCCTAACTCAAGAGACCAACTGTATAAACGAATTTCTGTTTCTCCCTTTTCCACCCTTACTCCAACCGCCTTGTCCTGTTTCTGTCTCTGTTTTATGTTCTTCAGTAAATAAATAAAAACTTAAAAACAAAAAAAATCCAGCCAAAAACGCATATCTCCAAATACCCCTTTGTCTGTTCATATCAATTCTTCACTTAGGTAGCTGCGCATTGAGCCATAAGGAGAGTTGATAGCCACAAATTGTATATGTTCAGGCATAACTCTGCGGATCAGAGGTCAAGAGAAAGTACTTCAATGAAGCAGCAGATACAACATTTCAACGCCGAGTTTTGGGACGTTTCATTCCACTAGTATTGAAAGGTGACACGCTGCCACTTGGTCCTGGACTCTCTTCTCTAAAATTTGAGTTCAGCATGGCTAGTTCATGAAGCTGCTACCTCTTTATATGGTCCTGAGACTCATCCTGCACGAAAAGAAAATAAGGAACATCAGTTGAAACCAGGTTAACTTGATTTCCATCAAGGGTTCACACCAGAACTTGTGATGACATTTACTGAGGCTATACACAAATTTTCAGCTAGATTTGACTATATGGTTTAGCGACTAAACTTCATGGTCAAATTCATCTTCTCATTCTATGGTTAATTGGACTTCAATGTCAAAAAAGGGGGGGTGAAAAAAAAAAGAGTAACATCAATTATCTCAAGTAGTTAACTTATGCAATTCTAAAGAAAATTATGTAGCATACCGCAGGCTTTTGATTTAAATAATTGAACTCAAACCCACTCCAGTCACAGCACCACAAATTAGTGAGAGGAAGCAGAAACAAAAGCAGACCTTCAATCATATTAAGAAATGCACAACTTGACCAGAAAGGTTAAAATATCAATTATCAAGATAACTAACAGCAATCTGCAGAGATAAGCAAAACATAAGCCCATGGTCAAAAAATTTCAAAAAGTTTTCACCTCAAGCGAATTTCCTCCTTTACAGAATCTTTGGCATCATCTGTAGTAGTAACTACGAAAGGCAGCTTGGATCTCACAGTATTCAGAACAAGGACACGCTCAGCAGCCACTTGCAAACTTAAGCAATTGTACTAAAATCATCAAAAAGAATAATCATCCAGGAGCAAATCCAAGTTAAGGAAGTAGTAAAACAGCGGTCATCAGTTAATAGAATTCGTCTTCCACAATCAACTACACACCATAATTCCACAACCAACTTTGCAGAAACTAAGTAAATTGCGGAGCACTGAGATAAAGAACTCATCCATAAACATATGATTCTAACATCAGAAACTATTCATTACCTTGAATTGAAAAAAAGGTTTATCATGAGTTCATTGATCAAATTAAAGAGAAATCAAGAAACAGAGATACAAGGAATCGAAATCAAGTAAATTTACCCCATTAACCAAGTAACAAGGAATCAGTCAAATTAAAATAATACAAAAAATGAACTAATGGAGAAAAAGAAGAAATTCTTACCAGAGCTGAAAGGATATGATCAATCCTCTCTTTAATCCCAAAATCAGGAATCCAGTATCTACACAAAGTAAAACACGAAATATAGGCACAATGATAGTAAAAATAACAAGAGGGGAAAAAAGAAAAAAGAAGAAGAAGAAAAGGAAACTGAAACCAACTTTATCCACGCATGACAATAAACTCTCCGTCTTTGAACAAATCTGGTGGCCAATTTGCCAGAATCATAGTCAAGTTCAACCACAATTCCGTCACAAAATTCCAGCTCAAGCGGAGAAAAGCGGATGAATTCGCTTTCACCTTCCCAGAATATAGGAATCTCCAAAGAAGAGAGCACTCGGAGGGTTGGCAGGAGTGGTGAAGGGTAGAGGGATGATCGGAGGAGCGAAGGGCAATGGGGGTGATGGTGGTGCGAGAGGCAAAATGTTAAAGTTGAGATGGAAGCGGCAGTGGAGAGCAAGAGCCATTGAGCCGAGCAAAAGCGGGGAATTAGACAGAAAGAGGGATGTGAATAAACTTGACCCGATTTTTATTTTTTACCCACATTGGATCCGTATGTAAACCCATTTTTTAGGGTTTAGACGTGGAATTGGAATCAGAATTCTTTTGGTCTGATAAAGAATTCAATTCATGGAATTGAAACCTCTTGGAATTAGAATTCAATGCTAATTCTATGGAAAAGGCAGCATCCAAACATAAGAATTAGAATTAGGGTTCCAATTCTAATTCTAAACCCCAATTCTATGGGGTACCAAACGCACCCTAAGAGTGTTTACGCAAGTGTAGCTTGAAAATGACGCAAAAAGCTTCCGAAACCTGCATTGGCAATTAAGATGAGACAAATGAGAATACACGAAAGATTATTGAAGCCAGTTAGAGGAAAAAACAGAAAAACATTAAATGTAAATATACCCAAAAAAAAAGCTCTTCTAAGGAAAATCATGTAAGATCTTGCAAGGAAAAAAAAATATTAATCTGTTCTACCTCCAATTAGATGTGAACTAGTTTATTTGGACTTCACGCGTTGCATGACGGTGCCCAGAAAGAGTATAATCTATGCAAGTATACATGGTCAAAAACTGTAATAATTCTCTAGGCATTCTCATCAAATTCTTTGAACACACAGATATGGTATCTTGTCTCAAGAAACTACCCAAAACTCCAGCATTTGTTCATTCCGTCAACATATAAACGTCAGATTTCAAACTCCAGCATTTCTTTTAGTGCATTAAAAGCATAAATGCACCATTGTCACTTCATGTATTGCCACACCGACTGATCTTGAAGATAACATTCTACAAACGATTGCAGTTGGTGCACAGGTAAAATCAGTATCAATACATGCTGGCACATGTACGAGCTTGTAGCATAGATGGAAGCAAATTGGGGTCATAAAGGAGCAAAACACAAACTTCAACAAATTTTATTCACAAAAAGTCACTTCAGAGAATTATAATTACAAACTTCGAGTAATTAATAAATGACATTTTGAACATGCATCACATATGTGGAGCACATGCATTACCAATCACTTCATTATTTAATCCATAAATATCATATTGATCATGTTCATTATCTTCGCAACTATTAAGCATTCCTGAAACTACATTCCTTTGAGCTTCAACGGTGACAAGAGACCCTAAGGTAGGGGGTGAGACCACCCAACTAATAGCTTTCCAATCAAGCCTTTTAAAACAATTAGCATGTAGTAAGTGGATACAAATCAAAGAGCTCCCTCTATATTATCAAATGATAGGAACATAGAGTATAAGGAAAATTTATCCTTTGACTTGAACTAAGTCATGCAAAATGACTATTACGTAAGAGGTTCAGTCCCTTGGAAGATGGGGAATGATGCAATTCTTTTAAGGAAAACTGGTTAAGAATGATAGTATATACCTGCAAAATTTCAAGCTACTATGCAGTTTCTTTTGATAGTTTGCCAAGTTCCATCCTAAATTTCGACTAATAAGAAAGCACTAAATGTGGGAGAAAGAGAAACAACAAATAAACTGCAGAATGCAAATGAAATGCTGAAAACAGAGACAAAATTTCAAGTTTACCAAAATGCAATGGAAGAACTTCTTGGACTCATCGTTATGTCTGAAGGCCTCAAAAGCAGAAATCCAGCAAAAGATTAAAAACATATTTGGCTCTAAGGACACAAAATACTTGAACCCAACCAACCAAATAAGGCAGGCAAAGTAAAGAAGAAAGCAGCTTCCAAGGGTGGATAAAAATTTGACCGAAAATAATTAAGAACCTGACATAAGCATTATCTTCTAGGTTCAAATTTAGAGCATATAAACGATCAAAAATTTGTAATAAAACTAATCAAAAAATCCAAAGCAATAGGTACTTGAAAATAGTGTGTGCTGTGAAAACAATACGCATTGAGGAATTGCCCCAAAATCACCCCAATGGCCCTATTTTCCCTACTATCAGTATTAGAGCAGTAATTGGGCCCAGCAATAAATCAGAAATATGCATGCAAAGAATGCTAGAAGAATCCAAAGAGCATCTTAAGAGCAGAAGAACAACTGGAAAAGCCTGAAACTTGGTATAATTTAAATGCCATAACAAAAGGATAAACATAAACGAATCAAATAGAAAGAAAAAAGAGTTTTACCGGAGGTGAGAGAAAACAAACTTGGCCATCTCACATTCAATACGATTCTGAGCTTGAAGAACACGGAGATTTCAATGCTTCCTTATCTCCTGAAGCTTTATTCTTTTGTCAAAGCACTCATATGCACATTTGAAATAAGCTTGTTGCAATATCAAATACCCACAATTTGAACCATTTATAATCTCAACTACTTTAAGAACAATGAAGGAAAAAAAAGGGTAAAAAGAAATGAGTGCCAAAGAAGATGATTTGAAAGCTTTGAAAAGATTTTGGACAGAAGAGAGTTGGGACTAAGTAGCGGAGGAGTCAAATGGAGGGAAGACGGAACATGTAGTTTGGAGGGTATTGGAATTTCTGTTTGACAATTGAAACATCTTGGGAGTATTGAGCTTTGTACACACCAATTGCTATCCATGTGGGGAGTCAATCTTTTAACTGAATTGCCTCTAAATTTTCTGCATAATTCGGTTGGTTTTAGATTTCATAGATGATGGAGAAGTTCTTGGACTTATTTACGATAGGGTTGGAACAGAAGATGGAGCAGCCAATCGCACTGATGGATCTCAATCTAGCATCCAACTGTAGCATTATGAAAAGACCCAATAGCCAAGCCTACAAGCTCACATCAATAACTAGTTAAAGGGTAAAATTGGGAGATAAGGGTTAGCTAGTAAAATCACATTGCCACATCACCTACCAGCCGCGCATCCCAACTCAGTCCTAGCCCCAACAATTCAAATGTTCACCTGATATTCCATATTCAGCCACCTAGTCCAGGTGTCCATAGGGGACCATGACTACTGTTCATAAGCCAACTCTCCTTTTTATTCCTTTTAGGATATAGTAGCACGCATACCATATCCATTGGTCGGGCCATTGTACCATAGCTTTTAAAGGGACTTTCATTTAGCAAAGATTGCATTTCTCTGTTTAGACATTGTCTGGCTAATAAAATGGATAGCCAAATATCTACTGGTCAACTGTATTTGCGCAATATGTTGTTACTAACCTGGGTATTCCAACAACAAAACCCATGATTTAAGGTTGTAGAAGCTATAGAAAATGAAACTAAAATAAAATGCCCTGTCACTTCCTTAGGACAAATCTTAAGAGGAAAGTGAGAAACAGGAAGGCATTTACAACAAAAGGTCTAATAACAGATGGAGGACCTTGACAGACTCATGGTCAAATGCACAAGATGCTAAGATCACCAGTGTCCTGTTCAACTAGTGAGAATGAAAATAGCTGAATAGCTACAACTTGTATGTATGTTCATATGTTCCAAGTAACAAATAAAACACTTCCACATAGAAAATAAAAATATAGATTCTGCTGCCCAGCAACCACCAGCAAATCTAAACCTAATGACAGACTACTCCCAAATCCCATTCATCCCTAAGTCTCACACTCTATTTTCAAACTGCATCTCCCAGAAGCTAAGCATTAACAATGCAATAAAATCAGAAGAAAATGCATATGATCTAAGCTTCCATGGGAAGCACACGTAAAAGATCAGACCAGGAGATAAAACCAACATCAATCCAAAATCATAGCAGGGAAAAAGAAGTGAAAGGGGTGACTGTCCAGTGGATGGAAACAATTGTGACTATGCATGGGAAGAAAAAGGAGGAATCAGAGAGGGCCAAGAGACAGGGCTGAAGGACATAGGGGAAAATAATAAATAGAAACATTTTGCAAGATGAGGTTTCTTGAAGGAAGTTAAGAGAGAAGGAGCAAAAATTCTTTCAAAATTGCATATCATAATAACATACTTAACTACAAGACTAGGTCACTCTACTATGACAAACAAGGCCTCTGATTCTATTTGCTATTCTTGGTACAACTAAGTCGTAGTTGGAGCAGCTCATGAATAATTTAACAACCATCAAAGAAATAAATTCTCCGCTACTGCAAGAAAGATATTGTAACTTACAAGCTCCCAGGCTTCAACTTGTTGGGAAGAATTTTGCAAAAGCTTTCTGTTATAAAAAACCAAAATTCAGACTTTGTAATCAGCAAATACATGGTTCTTATCTTCCAGAGAAAAACAGTGATTACATTACTGTGATTATGGTAACAGGACAAATAAGTCACGAGCTACTTAGCACTCCCTGATGTAGATCACAGTGATTACAATGACCAGAAACACCATAATTGTCAAAAGTTATTATCTGAGAAGCCAAAAGGAGAGTGAAATGAGCATTAATCTCTAGATAACTTAGAATTAACCATTTACATTACCAGGTACACCGGGGCACTCATAAGCATGACAACGGATCATGCCACAAAGTAGTAAACAAGCTAAAAGTTAAGAAGTTGGCCAATAAAATAGATGAAAGATTACCACATCAATGGCATTAGAATCAACTTCCACCTTAATAATCGTTTCTGTTGAAGATATGTGATTATAGAAAGATTTGCTATTGTAAATATTAGAAAAGATTAGATTAGATTTGTTTTGATTATAGTATCAGATATTAATTAGGAAATAGATTGATTTAGAGTAGAATGATTTTAGAATCTAAATTAGGTTACACTTGTGTATATATATATTTGTACATTGTGTAGTCCAGAAATATGAAGAAGAGTATTTTCTCTTCATTTTTTCTTAGTTTTTATGGTATCAGAACTTTAGGCTTTGTTATCAGTTTATTTTTTGACGTGACCCTATTAAGTCACTTTTAGTTTTTTCTTGTGTGAATTATAATGGTAGATATAAAAGGTAGTAGTAAAGAAATGAAAACAGTAATTTCTGATGTTATTGCTACAACATCAAAGATTACTGAACACAAACTGAGTGGGAAAATTTTTTTGGATTGGAGTAAAACTATTCGGATATATCTGCGTAGCATTGATAGAGATGATCATCTCACTGATGACCCACCCGTTGATGGGGAAGAAAAGAAAGTTTGGCTAAAGGAAGATGTAAAATTATTTTTGCAAATCCGAAACTCTATTGATAATGAGATAGTCAGTCTCATCAATCATTGCGAGCTTGTTAAAGATCTTATGGATTATTTGGCCTTTTTGTATTTTGGTAAGGGTAATTTAAATCATACATATGATATTTGCAAGGAATTTTACCGTCCGGAAAAACAGCAGAGATCCCTTACAGAATATTTTATGAATTTTAAACGTGTGTATGAAGAATTGAATTCTCTCCTTTCTTTTAGTACTGATGTAAAAACTCAACAGTTTCAATGGGAATAAATGGATGTAATGAGTTTTCTTGCAGGATTACCAGTTGAATTTGATGCTGCTCGAACACAAATTCTTTCTAACCCAGAGATTGTTTCCCTCCATGACACTTTTACACGAGTGTTGAGAACCGAGGGATCTTTGTCTACTTCCAATGTTACTAGTGTTCTCGTGAGTCGAAGTGGAATTGGTCGAGGAAATAATGGTAGAAACAATGGCAAAAATGGGACTGATGGAGTTGTTGGTCATGGACAATACTACTCAAATCAACGAGTCTGTTATCACTGTAAGAAACCAGGCCATATCATACGTATATGTTGAGACTTTCATGATAGACCTTAACAGCAGCCGTTTGCAAATTTCGCAACCCAGGAAAACAATTATGTGGCTTCTGACAAATCCATACTCATCTCTGCTGATGAGTTTGCCCGCTTTACTGAGTTTCAGGCCTCACAAAAATCTGCTAACCCATCTTCTAGTACCAATCCTCCTTCTATTGATCACTCAGGTAAATCTACTACATGCCTTGTGTCATCTTCTAACAAATGGGTCATCGATTCCGGTGCAACAGATCATATGATCAATAATAAAGGTATTCTCTTCTCTTTTAATCCTAATAAAAATCATCCGAATGTTACTTTGGCTGATGGGTCATGTGCTTCAGTTATGGGTTCTGGTATAGCAATTCCTATGTCATCTATCCCCTTATATTCAGTTTTATGCTTACCTAATTTTTCTTTTAATCTACTCTCAGTTAGTAAAATTACAAAAGCTCTCAAGTGCTCTGTCTCATTCTTTCCTGAATATTATGATTTTCAGGATTTTATGACGGGGAAGATTATTGATAAAGGACGTGAGTCTGGCGGCCTGTATACACTTGAAACCCCTTCATCGAAAGTACCGAAACCTGTTGCATGTTCTTCTACCTTGACTCCTCTTGAAATTTACTGTCGTTTGGGTCATCCATTTCTACCCACCTTGAAGAAGTTGTGTCCAAGATTTCAGAATTTATCCCATTTACATTGTGAGTCATGCCAATTTGCCAAGCATCATCATTTGCCCTACTTGTCTTGAGTCAATAAACGGGTTACATCCCCTTTTGAATTAGTGCACTCTAATATTTGGGGCTCTTGTCCAATAGTATCTAAGTCTGGTTTTAAGTATTTTGTCACTTTTGTTATGACTACTCTCGTGTTACTTGGTTATATTTAATGAGAAGTCGTTCAGATTTATTTAGTATCTTTTGTTCCTTTTGTACTGAAATAAAAACACAATTCAATGTGCGTGTCCGCATTTTGCGAAGTGATATTGCCAAAGAGTACTTTTTTAAACTCTTTAATCCGTATATGTCAGAAAATGGAATCCTTCACCAATTTTCATGTCCTGACACACTACCACAAAATGGTGTTGCTGAAAGGAAAAATAGGTACTTATTAGAAGTTGTTAGAGCCCTTCTATTTCATATGAAGGTTTCTAAGCAATTTTGGGCAGATGCTGTTTCAACAGCTTTTTTTTTAATTAATCGCATGCCATCTTCTGTGTTTGCTGGTGAGATTCTTTATTCAATTTTGTTTTCAACCCAATCTTTATTTCTCATTGAACCACATATATTTGGGTGTACTTGTTTTGTTCGTGATACCCATCCTCAGGTGTCTAAATTAGATCCCAAATCTCTCAAGTGTGTGTTTTTTAGTTATTCACGTCTTCAAAAAGGGTATATATGTTATTCTCCAAGTTTAGATCGTTATTTAGTCTTAGCTGATGTTACATTTTTTGAGACACATCCATTTTTTCTTGAGTCTAATGTCTATAGTAGTCAGGAGGAGGAAAATGATATTTTAGTCTACACTGTTACAACAACTGTTTCTACCAGACCACCGATCACTCAAGTGTATTCTCGTCGTCCTCAACACATAGACTCACATCCTCTACCATCTTCTCTGTCTACAGATTCGAGTCCTGATCCATCGCTTCCTCAGCTCTAGATTCCAGTCTTGATTTGTCTATTGCTTTAAGGAAAGGTAAAAGACAGTGCACTTACCCAGTTTCATCATTGTTTCATATGACCATTTGTCTCTCTCCTTGCGTTGTTTTACTACTTCTTTAGATTCAATATCTCTTCCTCAACGCTTATCTGAGGCTTTGGAACATCCTGGTTGGCAGACTGCTATGGAGGAAGAAATGATGGCTCTAGATAATAATGGTACATGAGACTTGGTTCATCTACCAACAGGTAAGAAACCTATTGGTTGTAAATGGGTGTTTGCTGTTAAAGTCAATCCTGATGGTTCTGTTGCTCGCCTCAAAGCTCGTCTTGTTGCAAAAGGGTATGCTC